CATAAAAGCCAAGTATAATGTTTTGGAATTCTTCAAACTTCAATAACTCCCAAGAAATGGACTAAAAGGCACTATAACAAAATGAAGCTAGCAACCCCGCTAAAAGGTTATGTTAGGCCTTGAAAAGGGTGTATAATGCCTAAAGCAACCTTCTACCAAAGGTGCATTAGGTAAAGTTGCCTTAGACCTAAAGCAACCTTTTTCTTGAAAAATGCAACCCTTTTTGAAATAGTTGCAAATCTTTTTGGGATGCACCTTTTTTATATGCAACATTTGTTATGAAAAAGCAACTTTTTGTATGCTTATATGAAAAAAATTTATCCTTCGATGCAACTTTTTTAAACTGTTTTAGTTAGGAAAATGAAACTTTTTTATAATCTATTGCAACCTTTATTATGTTTCTAGTAAATAATTGCAACTTTTCTCTATGGTATATGCAACCTTTGTCATGTCTTTAATTGCAAAAAATGCAACCTTCTTTACAGTCAAATGTAACTTTATTTTTCTGAGTTTTCTAATACATTTCGTACAATGGTTAAGCTCAAACCCTAACTCCTTAAGACATAGATTCTTGTCCAAAAGCCATAGTATTCCAAACTATGGCGTACTAACATGGATCGAGGCCTTAGACATTGGTTGTTCACGTAAAGTCTCTACCTTTTCTTCCATGCATGGCCTTTTGGGGCTTAAGAGGCCATAATAACTCCTTAAGGCTTGTATGAGGGTTCCAATGGCATAAAGTTTCCACATTTATGCCATAACAACCCTTAATGATCCCAGATTTGATGTAATCCTTGCTTGGGACGTTCGAATCCGAAAAGCTATCATTCTTGGACCATAAACCTCCATGAAAGAGAACAAAAGAGATCTAATGAACTAATGGATAAGATAGAAACTTGATTACCAGAAAATGATGGAAACGAGATGATGTGGTCGGATCTACTAGCTTCTTCTTTCTTCACCAAGCTCACCCTTCTTCCTTAAGCTTCAAAGCAATGACGAACACTCAATAATGGCTTACTATAGCATTAGGGTTCGAGATCTAGGGTTTGGACAATAGAGGCTGAAAATGGGGCTGAAATGAAGGAATTAGGATCCTTAAATACGATACAAAAACCCGGATTTAGGGTTTCCCAAACCCATACCAACTCGTCGAGTAGGTCCTCACCGACTTGCTGAGTAGGTCCTTCATTCCACATCATAATCTTGCTTCTCCTCATCGAGTTTGATGGGTTTTATAGGAACAATCATATGTGTTCATGCAACCCTAAATACGGATCTATGTTTTCACTATTAGATACACAACATTTTGAACACATGAAGAACCTTAGCATGCTCCTAGGTATTTCGAAATTTAAATAGTAGAAGGGATTACATACCTCCTGTTGTTATATTGTAATAACAACCTAAATCTTCAATCTTCTTGTCTTTAAAAGCAAGTACCACAAGTGTAGTACCTCTAATGGCTCACAAACACCAAGAGCAAATGGAGAGGAGAGAGAGAGAGAGAGAGAGAGAGAGGCAGAAAATCGGCTCTAGGAGCTTGTAGGATCAAGTGGCTGATTTTCCTAAGCCAAGGTTTCCTTATATAGGTTTAGGGATTAGGGTTTCAGTCCTTATCCTTATCTTTTTACTTGCCCACCAAGTAGTCCACAGCATAACCCTGGAAACCTTATCATGGACGACTTCTAGGGCCTTACCCCTTGAATTCGTCCGCCCTATCCCATAGGACATCCATCGCCCTACTTTGTAACTATCACATAATTACAATTCAACCCCCCTTGTTTAGTTAACTTCTTTTAATCACAAACTTAATTCTTAATTAATTCTTGACCAATGTCAACTAAATAAATATGATTTCTCTTTTAATATATTATTCTTATAATATATTAATAAAGCATAATAACTTCTTTCTCTATCATTTCTCTAGTCAATTTGATTTGGTGAAGGCAACCCAAAAGGACTATGCACAACCGGGTTAAGTACTTACCAAGTATGGTTACGAGCTAAGACACTAATCCAACATAGTTACTCTCCTTGGACTCGACGAGTAGACCTTTTGACTTGGGGTTTTTCTTTCCCTAATTCGCCTTCTGGATTTTGAGTGTTACATTCTTGAAGCTTCAAGAAGAAGATAGAGCTAGAAGGTACAAGATAAGATAGTAGATCCAGAGATTTCCTTTCATCCTCATCATTTTCTGGTAATCAAGTCTTTAACTTGTCTATTACTTTATTAGATCTCATTATTTACACTTTATGAGGGTTTTTGGTCCAAGGATCTCAATCCTTGGGAAATGGACATCCCAAGTGACTTACCTTTCAAATCTAGGATCTAGAAGGGATTTCATGGCATAAAGGTGCAAACTTTATGACTATGGAATCCCCATGAAAGTTTTAAGATGCTATTATGGCCTTTTAAACCTCAAAAGGCCATGTATGGTAGTAAATTCTGAGATTTTACATGTTTATTTGGTATCTAGGAGCTAGATCTCGGTTTTCATGCTTTGGGTTGGAGTAATAAGGCTTTTGGTCAACAATCTATGTCCTAAAGAACTAGGGTTTTAGCTAAACCCATTAAGAAGGATTTTTAGCAGGTAAATTTGGAAACTTTACCCTTAAGAGGGCATTTCAGTAAGTAGAAGAGGTGTGGACCTTGGATCTGTAGAAAAGATGCTTAATCTGTTAAGATGACCCTAATAGACAGAGGAACTCGTCGAGTCCATAGAGGAACTCGTCGAGTCCATAGAGGAACTCGACAAGCTAAGTCGTGATTATCCGGATTCGGTTTAAGGTAGAACTCAACGAGTTTGTGAAGGGACTCGACAAGTTGATTCGCCAAATCGCAACTATGAGTAGCTAGGGAACTCGGAGATTCAGGGAAGTTACTTGATGAGTTAGATTGCAATTTCAGCATTCCAGGACTCGTTGAGTTGATGGAGCAACTTGGCGAGTTGGGTCAACCTAGAATGTTGACTTTGACTAGGGGTAAAATGGTCATTTTACCCTTAGAATGATTCATAGTTTTTGACTAAGTGTTTCTTGTGATAATAATAGTTGCGGAGTCATTGGAGTAGCCATCAGAGATTTCCTCACTCGAGATTTCACCTGCCACCTTGAGAGGTGAGTTTTCCTCCAGTAGGAGCGAGTCGAAGGCACCAATGTTGGCCCATTTATGTATGTTAGCATATGTCGGACTTAGGTCGAATGTTAATGTTAGCCTGATGTAGATTATATGTTGCTCCGGTACCATGTCAGGGCAAGCCCGAGGAATATTTATATGCTTGATGTCTTCTTGATTCTTGCATGTGTTTGTTTATATGTTACGGGCTTCGGTCTGATGTCGAGGCAAGCCTGAGGAATGTTTAGTTTGTATGTTACGTGTTATAGGTTCTGGGCTTCGATCTGATGCAGAGACAAGCCCGAGGAAGGTTTAGCTTATATGTTTATGTTATATGTTTATGTTATATGTTTATGTTATATGCTTGTTAATATGTTATACGTATACTAGACTTCGGTCCGATGTCGAGCGAGGCCCGATGCCATACTTCAATCCGATGGCAGGCGGGTCCTGATGCCGGGCCGAGCCCGATGCCAGATTCGTCCAATATCGAGTGGGGACCGATGTATTGGGCAATGCCCAATGTATGCTATTATGTGTTTATGTGTATGCTATGTGGTAGTTTAGGGAGACTCACTAAGCTTTGGCTTACAATTTCAGTTTTGGTTTTAGGTACTTCCACTAGCAAGGAGAAGAGCTCTGGATGACTGTATGACACACACCATAACTTTTAGCCTGAGATATTTTACTTTGATTTTATTTGACATATGATTGATATGGATATGCTGTTTTGACATTTGAGATATTATGGTTTGTGTTTTGGATACATGATTTTTAGTAATTCTTGTTTAATTAATGATTTAAAAATGAAAATTTTGGACTGTATTTTTGGGATGTTACATCGGTAATGCTCTTTTTTGTAGTAGTGACGGATCACTATCGATCCAATTTGTTTATGACATGCCCCGTCTAAAATTTTATAATATTAATAATTATTTATAAGGTATACATTTATCAATCACCAATACAGTGTGTACTATTTAGTATAAGACTCGAGGAGTTCAGTCTTTCCACTGTGACAAGTCTTCTATCCCCTTGAATGTTAAATTGTTCCATGTTTGTTGTTGTGAACATATTCTTAACTTGGTTGTTCAATATTATTTGAAAGTTATTATTGAATTTATTCACAATCTAACAGAAAACCGTAAAATATTTGAAGCAATCTCCATAAGCGACACAAAAATTTGATTATGTGAAAGTTTATTTTGGAATGAATGTTGTCTAATTTTGGTGATTCATGTTATATGTATTGTAATGCATAATTATAGGCTAATTTTAATATTGTAAATGACTAAGGTAAAATGGTTAAAAATCCATTTATCCGATAGATAAGAGTATGAGTTTATTATGTAAAACTCTACGGGTTCCAGATCGGGTTTGGATCCACATTTATAAAATTGCTTAATGGGTTCGGATCGTGGTCAATCCGCTCCAAACCCGCTCCATTGCTAGCAGAACCACAATCATCATTCTTGAAGCTTACTAATTATGAATTAATATGCCGATTTGAATGATATATTTTCTGTCTATTATTTCAAATTAAAAGGTTATGAAGATAATATCTCAAGCTAAAAGTAAGCATGCCAAAGTAGACCAAAATTATACAAAGAGAATTATTGTAATAAAGTTGAAACACTTACTACTATTGTTAAAGAAAAAAAATCATAAAAAATTAATAAAAGTTCCATACAATATAAACCCCTAAATAATGGTTTATTATTTACTCTATACACAAGAGCTGCACAATTCGTCACCTATAAAATGGCATAGGGTCTGGCATATCCTTTGTCATCCATCTACATACCTATTCTAGCCTTGAAAGATAATTTTCTGCAATGGAAACAAAAATAATTTCCAAAGAAAACATCAAACCCTCTTCCCCATGACCCCAACACCATCCCATCTGAATACATTCGACTTTTGTGCGTTAGATCAGATTATTGTAAGTCCTTATGTACCAATCATCTTATATTACCCCAATAATAATGGCGACAATTCCAATCAAGCCCTACAAAGGTCAGAGGTTCTAAAGAAATCTTTGTCTGAGACCTTGACTCGGTTTTACCCTCTTGCTGGAACAATCAATAACGATCTTTCTATCGATTGTAACGATATTGGTGCTAACCATATTGTAGCTTTGGTCCGTGGTTGTCTTGACGAATTTCTAGTATATCCTGATCACGGGTTGATCAATACCTTTTTTCCATGTGAACCTAGCTTTAACAAGTCTAGTATTGGTAATCGTGTAACAAACGTGCAAGTAAACATTTTTGAATGTGGTGGGATTGCCATTGGCTTATGCAGTTCACATAAAATCCTTGATGGGGCTGCATTGTACAAGTTTATGAAAGCATGGAGTAACATGGCTCGTGGAGCTGAAGAAGTTGTGTATCCAAACTTCACCGCTCCATCTATTTTCCCTGCGAAAGGCTCATGACTTAGAGACACATTCATGGTGTTGGGGGAGTTATTGTTAAAGGAAGGCAAGTGTCGCACAAAAAGGTTTGTATTCGGGCTGGCCGGATCTTATTGCCAGTTTGAGAGCCAGGCAGAGAGTAACGGCGTGCAATGACCTATGTTGGTATAATCCAGAAAGTTTGGGGACCATATATGTTTGTTTTTCATTTATGTTTATTTCCAGTATTCACGTAGGAAGCAGTCAAAGGCCATGTTGGTCATTTTCCCTTTTCTTTAGGAACTAGCAATTAAGTGGTTTAGTGGTTCCACATTTCTAGCTTATTGATAGGATAAATAGCTTGTAACGTCTTTGTTTTTGATGCAGTGAGAAAACCCAGAAAATTGCTCCATCTCGTCTTGTACTTTGCTCTCTCTAATCCCCTCCATTTTCTGCTCTGTTTTAGCTGTGTGGAACAGGGCCTGCAACAATACTTGGTATCAGAGCAAAATCTGGTATATGCCCAAGTATCAACCACGAGTGACAAAGATGACGAGAAACAATAATGACAAAGATGGATCTATCACCTTACACTACCCCATGCTCTCAAGAAGTAATTATGCTGCTTGGGCAATCAAAATGAAAGTGTTCATGCATGCCCAAGGTGTTGGTAGGCAGTAGAACCAAGAACAACCAATACAGTTGTTGAAGTCCGGAAAGACAAGATGGCATTAGCGGCTATCTACCAGGATATTCCAGAGGATATGCTCCTATCATTGGAAGAGAAGCAAACAGCGAAAGAGGCATGGGAAACTCTGAAAACAATGTATATAGGGGCTGATCGGGTGAAGATGGCTAGGGTTCATACGTTGAAGACTGAACTTGAAATGATGAGCATGAAGGAGTCAGAAACAGTAGACGAGTTTGCTGCCAAAGTCACGAACATAGTCAGCAATGTTCGTGCCTTAGGAGAGACAATAGGAGAGGCATACATGGTCAAGAAGTTGCTTCGGGAAGTACCTAACAATTTTGGGCAAATCGCATCCACCATAGAACAATTTGCTGATCTAGAAACTATGATAGTTGAATAAGTCATAGGGAGACTAAAAGCACATGAGTAACGGGTACGAGGTCAAAGCGACTCCAATGAAGGAAAGTTACTCCTGACACATCAGGAGTGGCTTGATAAAACAAAGAAGAAGAAGGATGAAAGCCAGAAATCATCACAGCGGGACCCCAGGAAACACAATCCCGGTTCACGTGGTCGTGGGAGAGGCCGGGGGAGAGGAAACTCAAACCGTGGGGGGTCACCGTGGTGGAGGTTCACAGTCGAGTCGCGATGGAGGATGGAACACAACAAGCCGAGACAAAAGTACATTGGTGTGATACAATTGCCAAGAACAAGGCGACTATGCATCTAAGTGCAAAAACCCACGCAATGGGAGATACCAAGAAGCCAATCTGATGCAGGGAAACGATGATCAAGAACCCGCTTTATTGTTATCTGCATATAGTAAGGGTGAAGTGCATGAGGAGGTGTATTTGAATGAAAAGCGGGTGACTCCAAAACTGAGAACAAATGGTGATGAAGCTGCAGAATCCAAGATATGGTACTTAGATAATAGGGCCAACAATCACATGACTGGAGAAGAAGGAAAATTCCATGAGATAATCAAGTTGATAAAGAGATACGTTCGTTTTGGAGATGGCTCAAGGGTAAGGATCGAAGGTAAAGGGTCGATTCTCTTCCAATGCAAGAATGAAGAACAAAGGTTGCTGAGTGAAGTATACTATATCCCAAGCCTATGCAACAATATCATAAGTTTGGGTCAAATGGCGGAAATCGGTGACAGAATAGTGATGCTTGGGTCATTTTTATGGATCCATGATCATACTGGTAGATTACTCATGAAAGTAAAGAGATCAGAAAACAGGTTATACAAGATTGCATTGGAAGAGGTAAAGGCAACATGCTTGTTAGGAGAAGGAAGGGAGCAAGATTGGTTATGGCATAGGAGGCTTGGGCATGTAAACTTCAATGCTCTTAAACTAATGTCAGAGAATGGTGTGGTCCATGGGTTTCCCTAAATCATCAATCCATCTCGTCCATGCGAATGCTGCTTCGCTGGAAAACAAGCACGGACGCCATACCCCCTGCAAGCCTCGTACAAAGCAAGCAAGAAACTCGAGCTGGTTCACGGAGATCTCTGTGGCCCCATCATACCTGCAACACCATCAGGGAATAGGTATTTTCTGCTTCTTGTCGATGACTTTAGTTGTGTGATGTGGATATACCTGATGAAGACAAAGGATGAAACCTTTGATATTTTCAAGAAATTTCAGGCCCTAGTCGAGAATGAAATAGGTGAAAGAATAAAAACATTCAGAACTGATCGTGGTGGTGAGTTCACGTCTAAAGACTTTACCACTTATTGTGAGGCAACTGGTCTAAAGAGACACCTCACAACACCTTTCTCCCCACAACAGAACGGGATGGTAGAGAGAAGAAACAGGACGGTGGTTGAAATGGCAAGAACAATGCTGAAACACATGAGAGTTCCTGAAACCTTGTGGGGGGAAGCCGTGAGGCACGCGGTCTATGTATTGAACCGTGTGACAACCAAAGCCTTGAAAGAGAAGATGCCATATGAAGCATGGGTTGGAAAAAAACCAAATCTGGAGCACTTACGGGTATTTAGTTGCACAGCTCACACAAAAATCGTGAAAGGGCATATGAGGAAACTTGAAGACAGAAGCAGGCCATTGGTGTATTTGGGAACGGAACTTGGGAGCAAAGCTTATCGTTTGCTTGACCCCGATACTAGAAAAATCTGTGTAAGTCGAGATGTATGTTTCGAGGAAGATAGAGAATGGTCTTGGAATAACTCAGTTAAGTTCAAAGATAGTCTTGGCATCTGGTTTGTGATAGAAGGTTATGGAGATGAGGTTGCAAGCCAAGAAGAAAATCCAATACCTTTTAAAGTCGATAACAGCAATAACTCAAGAGAAGTGACTTACGACAACATTCCCCAAGATAGCCCAACTCAGCAGGTCCAGGGTGAGGAATATTCTGATTCATTTGAGTTAGCCCAAGAAACACCCCACAATAGCCCATCACCATCATTAGAAGAAAACCCTATCACACCCATCAGTTCAATCGGTTCGAACACGACATCATCTGAATCAACCGGAGGCGGGGCTCCAAAAAGATATTGACGACTATCAGATATCTACAGACAGGAAGATGAACTGATGTTTGCACTTGACAATGAAAAACCGGAGTCGTACAGTCAAGCTAGTAAAGAAAAGAAATGGGTAAAGGCGATGTAAGTTGAGTTGTCTGCAATCGAAAGAAATAAAACATGGGAGCTAGTCAGACTGCCACCTGGCCGAAGACCCATCGGTCTCAAATGGGTATATAAGTTGAAACGAGATCCCAATGGTAATGTGTTGAAACATAAGGCCAAGTTAGTGGCCAAAGGTTACGTTCAGAAGCAAGGGATCGTCTTTGAACATGTACTCACTCCTGTAGCTTGGTTGGAAACGGTGAGAATACTTCTGGATTTAGCAGGGATTAATGGCTGGCACGTTCATCACCTGGATGTGAAATCAGCATTTTTACACGGCAAGTTGGAGGAAGAGGTATATGTAACACAACCTGAGGGATTCGTGCAGACAAACAAATATGGATTGGCGTACAAGTTATCTAAAGCCTTGTATGGTCTTCGTCAAGCCCCCCGGGCATCGAATGCATGACTTAACAAACATTTGAAGCTAATTGGGTTCGTAAGATGCGCCCATGAGTATGCAGTATACATAAGGAAAACCAACAGCAGCCTATTAATTGTAGGCACCTACGTTAATGACCTTATTGTTACTGGAACATGCAAGAAGGAAATTGATTTGTTTAAGAAGGAAATGAATCAAGAGTTTGAAATGAGTGATATGGGGTTGCTGACATATTATTTGGGTATTGAAGTCTCACAAAAGGAGCATGGAATAACCTTGAAACAAACAGGTTATGCAAAGAAACTACTAGAAAGGACCGGTATGCTGGAATGCAATCCTACAGAGACCCCAATGGAGCACAATCCCGAACTCACCAAGGATGAAATTGGAAAACCGGTATATGCTACTGAATACCGAAGCATATTGGGTGGGCTAAGATATATGTGCCACACATGGCCAGACATCCCGTATGCTGTTGGAGTTGTAAGTCGGTTCCTCGAGAGATCCACCGAACAACACAATCATGCTGTGAAAAGAATACTAAGGTGTATAAAGGGAACTCTCAACCTTGGTATGGTATACACACGAAGCAAAGAAAAAATGCAAATAGTATCATACTCTGACAACAATCATGCAAGAGACGTGAATGACAGGCGAAGCACAGGTGGCATGGTATTTTACTTGAACAAAAATCTGGTGACATGGAACTCTCAGAAGCAACAGTGTGTTGCACTCTCGTCATGCGAGGAGGAATTCATGGCTGCAAACTTGGCAACATGCCAAGGCATATGGGTCCGAAGACTTGTTTAAGAAATTATAGGTGAAAAGTTGGGTCCAGTAACAATACTCATTGACAACCAGACAACACTGGAATTAGTCAAGCATCCGGTTTTCCATGGGCGTTGCAAGCACATAGATACTCAGTTTCATTTCATAAGAGAATGCATTGAATGAGGAGATGTCATTGTTAAGTTTGTTGCAAGTGTGGAGCAGCAGGCAGACATTCTCACTAAGCCACTCGCAAGGAACAAGTTCAAGGAGATGAGGAACATGCTTGGAATGAAGAGAATCTAGCATTCTGGATTAGGGGGCATTTGTTGGTATAATCCAGAAAGTTTGGGGACCATTTATGTTTGTTTTTCATTTATGTCTATTTCCAGTATTCATGTAGGAAGTTGTCAAAGGCCATGTTGGTCATTTTCCCTTTTCTTTAGGAACTAGCAATTAAGTGGTTTAGTGGTTCCACATTTCTAGCTTATTGATAGGATAAATAGATTGTAACATCTTTGTTTTTGATGCAGTGAGAAAACCCA